TGGCTTCTCCCCGACTTCTGCCCCGGGCATGTCCCTCTCTTTCTCCCCATTTCTTTTTTTTCCTCTCCTCTCGAGTTTAGAATTTTCGACTCCTACTTATTCTCCCACCCACCAGCCACACCTCGCCTTTCTCTGGCTGGGTATTGGCCATTCAGCTCTTTATTAGACCAATCAGGGGCCTTGGGCAGGCAGGGTGAAACAAATGCAACACATCTCTACGTAATTAAACAAAAGTAACACACCTTGACACAGCACAGTCACTTTCTGCAGCATCAGCCAATGTAACACACCTTTACACAGCGAAAACAATAAACCACAACAACTTTCAGTAGAAGTTTCCAAGCAAACCACAAAGAGAACGCCTGGAGGATGCATGACTCTCCTCCACAGGGTAAGCCGGGGTCCCAGACCTCTCCAAACTGGGGCTCCATCAACTACTGGTATTCAGGGTGGGTGACAGAAAGAGAGAATTCACAGTGACGTTTCAAGACCTCAGGCTCCTCATCTTGAAGTCCACAACACTCCCAGTCTCCGCCATTAGACAGAACAAAAGTCCTCTGGTCATCCCTGCAGAGGCTCTGGCAAAGCAGTGTCCCATTAGGAGACCATCTTCCCGTCGTACCACCAGCCTGCTACAGCAAAAGAGAAGGTGGTAGGTAGAGGCACACTTGGTTCAGACTCAAATTCCCTGAATTATCTATCCCTTCATCTACAAACCAAAGTACTAACTCCAATGGCCCTTGAGAGTCTTAAACTAAGTAAAGAAAAAAAAAATTAGTGCCAGACAAAAGTAAATGCTGTCAGGCATAGCTGCACATACCCATAACCCCAGAATTCTAACTTGGGAGGAGGAGGCAGAAGGACAGCAAAGTTGGGGCTATCCCAAGCTACATAATGAATAAGAGTCTGTTGAGACAGAGGAGAGACAGAGAGAGGAAGGATTGGAGGGAGGGAGTTAAATATTACCTTCCAATGCAAGTGCCTCCCCACTTGCCCAGGTAACAGTTACAGGTTCCCTACTACACAGAGACATAATGCCACCAAAAGGAGCTAAGCAGCAGCCCCCGTCCTACCTGCTCTCCAGCTGCCGCATTGCCCTCTCCGACATTAACGACACTGTGAGTCCTCCAAAGCGCCAGGGCTTTTCCTGGCCAGGAGCGCTTCCTGCCCAGCTCTCTACAGCCTGAGTAATGGAATGTGCTTTAGGTGCCTCTGCTCAGCTACTAGAGGGGCCTGGACATTGAGCTAAATGGGCGAGGGGCAGGCTGGCTGGACAATACCGACTTTATTTTTCAAGTAATCCCACCTTTCTGAAAGGGTGGTAAGGCAGCCTTGGGGTGGTAATGGGTTTGGGGCAGCCGTCACTTACATATCAACTCTAGTATGATAGCTGCCTTTGTTCCTTATTCCACAGGAGGGCTGCAATCACAAGGTTCTAGAAGACACTGCAGGGTAGTGGCCGGGCCAAGCCTGGGAAGGGGGTCCTCTGGCCACTCTTAGACATCTGCTAAGTGGCACACCAGAGGCCTGTTCGCACAGGGAGTCCAGCGCTTTTGGTGCATTTCCACGTTCAACCTCATTGGCAAGCATCTCAACACACACTTTTAGTAGCAACTGCCGTTGCTTCCACCCTTGGGTGCCCCACCACCCAGGACATCTAGCAGTGTCCAGAGACAAAACTTTGATTGTCATACGCTGGAGAGTACGGTTGTCATCTAGCAGAGGAAAACATCCTGCGTTGTGTAAGAGACCCTCGTAGGAATCCCCTGGACCAAAATGTCACCGTGATGAACTGAAGAGTCCCTGAGGTGGGGAGCGCTCTGTTGAAAAAAAAAAAAAAGAATGAAAAATAAACAACACTGAGGAACCAGGTAGGTCACAGGAGTAACAGCTGCTACCCAAGAGCCCAGCCCCCATTCTTCCTGGCTTTCAAGCCAGAATGCGAAACTGCTTCCCCTTAAGAGTCCACAATTACGCTGCATTCTTTAAAAAAAAAGTCTACCATGCAGGTTAAACAAAACAAATTTGGAGGCATTGACACCAGGGCTGCAGTTTTGCCTGGAGAAAGGCAGCCCCCACCATGAGCAAGTCTAAGGTTGCCTTAGAGAACCCTCAGGCTTCTACTATCCCTCACCTTAACCTCCTCCCCTCCCAGACAACATTTGCTGTGCCATTAGGATGCAACAGAATCCTGTTTGTGTGGGTTTTCCTGCACAGCCCCAAGAGCTAAGTAACTTGCACTCTCACGGTATACATGCAGGGGGTTCAGAGTCACAACGCCTTCCACAGCTTTTCCAGGTGGCAAAGCAAGCTTGAGCCTTAGAATCTGAGCCCGCCTCTGAGCCTCAGATCTGTTAAGGAGACAGTCAGCTTGCTGGAGCTCCGGTGTCTCTACAGAGACATCCAAAGGGATTTTGTTCATTCTTGGGGCCACACACGCAAGCATCAGCACACCACTGTGGTCTGGTCACCCCAAGTTCCTTAAGTGTTCAGAACCCCAGTCCCACACCTAAAGCCATGTTTTCTCGCTGCGAGTGTTCTTCCCCAGGACATTGTCTGACGTTTCAGCCACTGAGAAGTGGCCTTGGACACGGAGTAAGTGGAGGCCAGAAGTACTGGTAAGCCTGCACAGGGAAGATCTACTCCTGAGAGTCACGGAGTCTGAAATTCCAGTGGTGTGGGGTTGGAGGAATCCCTAGCTAAGAAACTCATGACAGCTTTTGTGTCATGAAATAAGCAACCAGCAAAACGTTCCAGTTGGTCCCATCTGCTCATTTAAACACCCCTTTACTTCTCTCTTCAGCTCATCCTTCCCCCACCCCCCAGAACAGTATGGCAATTCCTTCCCTCCATACTAAATGTCTACAGGGGAGAATCGTTTCGCAAGGGTCTCCAGGGACCAAATAAGAAAGAGGACAATTAACAGGAGGCCAACAAAAGGCCAGCACAAACCTACAGAATAAATCCCTGAGGTCCAAGCATAATGACCTCTCACGTGGAGATATTAGTGTTCTTTTTTATTGTTGCTGTTTGTTTTGGTTTTTCCTCCTTGAAGTTCTAAACCAGCATCCAAGCCCACAACAGACTCAAATGAATTCAGCCCCTCTCTGCTAAATATACACACACACATAGGAGCGGGCTGGGTTTCATAAAATGATTTTAATAGAAAAGTACAAGATACGAACAAAAATAAATAATCTTTATCTCCTTTCTATCTCCGCCAAATTGAAAATCATATAAAAACCGATCTAAGATGCAAGTCCCTCCTTGGTTTGGCAACACTGTAAGAGCTTTTATTCAGCCTTCTAGATTGGCTCACACCAACTTTTCATTACATCTTCTTTATAAAGTTGGCTAACAAGATGTTTCTCCAACACAGAACATCATCCAATCATCAGATTTAAGTATAAAGTCCACGTTAGCAGGCAAATTCAAAGATCCTTTTTATAAACTTTAAATCTAATGTCTCTAAATGTTTCTGCAATTTATAAAAACCATCCTCTTCCCTTCCACAACATGGCATCTTGTTGGCTACTTCACCAAGAGGTGAAGACCAGAAAAGACCTTTCCAGAAAACCAGTACTTTGGAGCATGTTTTACAGTAACAGCGCAGCGCTTCGGAGCGGGGCCGCCATGCTTGCTGGCGTGAAATATGTACTTGATCACAAGCAACTTTGCCATCCGCCTTCCCTGCTTATACTTCAGTGTTGCTGGGTAGCTTTTGCTAGTGGTGTCTCTAGTCAGTTAATACGGTTCTTGTCCACAGGGTGTGTTATCCTGCTCTCGGGCCCCTATCTGAAGGTTCCATTCGCCTGAATGATGGTGTGGAAAAACACATTGGAAATTGCTATTGAGGAAAATCTTCTGAGAACGAATGTGGGCAGGCAGCTGCTGTCACAGGAAGTGGCAGCCGGGAAGGTCAAGAGCACAAAGAACCAGGACTGGAACAATACAGTCTTGACCTGGAGCCCAAGATGGACCATTTTAAACACAGTTCTGTTTGCCACAGCCTGTGTATAATTGTTTCATTGATGTTTCTGTACTGGGAAGGTTTTGAATGCTCTCCAGAATGGGAAGAAAAAAGATGCTGACATTGCTACATTGAGTATATGTTTTAGCAATAAAGAACACTGGTCAATATACAACTGAAGAAAAACGGAAACAGATGTGACTCCTAGAACCACAAGCCTTTGAATTTGCCCAGAAATGCTATTTTAAACACTCTATATGTTGGTCTACTGGTTTTTTTTTTTTCTTTTTTTTTTTTGGTGGAATAATGCATTCTTGGTTTTCTTTAAAGGTTTCAGTATGTTACAAGGTTATCCAGAAAGAAAAAGAGAAGGGCAAAAGGCTAGCTAATGTATCAGTCTGCACAGGCCTGAACAGATTCTGGGATTCATTTCCAGAAAGCTGGAGGCCTTTTATTAATTGCACGTCACACAAGGAACCTTTAGTTCCTGCTCGCTGCAGTTTTCTTTTCATAAAAACTGTGCCCATTCAAACGGAGAACAGAGATGCCCCGCGTGGCCCACGGTAAACTCGCATAGTGTTTACATTTGCAGGGCAAACACAATGATATACACAGACATGCACACACACGTGCACATACGTGTGGGAGAGAGCTCAAAAATCTGGCGGACATGGACGAAAGCGTGAGCTTCTTTGGTTCATCTCTGGGATGTTACAAGAGCAGCGCACTCTAAAACAATTAAGTCGCATGCATAATGCCGAAAGAATGTGAGCGATTCTGTGACCAGCTTTACGCCATCTGCTCGACTCCTCTCTCTCTCTCTCTTTTTGAAGGAACATATATAGGAAAAGAGAATTCCGTTTTTGTTCTGTTGCATATAGAGAACTCTTTTGAAGCCTCCAAATAGTTTGCTTTTGGTAAACTTGTCCTCTCTTCTATTATTCAAACACATAGCAGTCCTAAGCTACCCCTGTGGCTTCCCCTGAAAACATCTCTCCACGTGAATCAGCTAAAGGACAACTGAAACCTCTTACCAATATACAAGTAACAATTTATTTTATATTCTATCTTCCATTGGCATAAGCCTTTCAATGTTTCTTTAAACCAGTGAAATATACAAATCACACAAGGCAGAAATATGTACATTAAAAGTACAGAATAAAGGCCATAGAGGATATACAAAATATCTGATTGACGCGTAGAATATCTTACATTAAATAGTTTTTTTTAAAGCTAGGATTGTTAAACTCCACTCTGCTCATGAACATGAGTCACTAAAAAGAACATGACCTAGTTAGCAAACATAAAGAGCGTACTTCGTGGTTTTTGTAGAATAAAAACCAAAAAAGTGACATTTTAAACTAAATTAGTGCTTTTTCATTTCAAGATCTTTCGTTTGTGATTCACTGTGGCTGAGGGGAAATGAATATTTGGGGGCAATAAGTTAAGAGCCATGGGGCTGAGGTGACCAGAAGGCCACCAAGCCAACGAAGGGAGACATACATCTTTTCATACCTTGAAAAACAGCATCAGGCCCTACAACAACACAGCAGATGCCACTTTGGAAATAGAGGTGCCCTCATTTTAAAACACTGTTTAAACTAGCTAACTCTGCAGTGAGCTGATTTGCTTCAGGGACTCAGGTCAGTCCTGTCAGACAGGACAAGAACAAGTCCTCACTGAGAAATGAGCTAAGCAAATGGAGACGAGGTGGGTGCTCCTGGGCTCTAGCGCCTCTCAAGGTCCACAGCTGTGACGAGCCGACAATGCCCTCCCCGCACAGGATACCAAAGAGAGGGTGGAGAACTGAGGGTGGGCAGGAAGGAGAAGGGCCACCTTCTAACTAACATATATTTCAGGACACCAGCCCTGAAGGCTTCTTCAGAGTCTAGCTTGCTTCCTGGTGTTCATGGTAGGATCCCAGAGAGTCACATGCCAATATCAAGACTCAAAATTTTGGAAAAAAGAAGTCCCAGTTGCACTTCAATGAAGGGCAATACTCCAGGCAGAGTGTAAGCCCAGAGCAAACTGTAAATCTAAACCACGGACTGCACTGAGATATAATTATATCTATATTTATATATGTATATTTATATATATGTTATGTACAAAAGACTGAGATATCAGGCACCATTAAACCACTCCCTCCCCCCTTATAAATGCAACTGTTCAAGTACACTAGGAACAGTTAAGCGTCCACCTGCAGGATGACAGGAAAAGCACAAACGGATAGTCTAAACACAGGATTATAATGGTTGCAACATCTCTGTGGACTCCTTGGGCCGAGTAATATCAGCAAAACCCAGGAAGTTACTGTACTTCCAAAGAAAAGCTATTAGAGAAAGACGCAATCCCCAAGTAGCTGTTTTGAGCATAACTCTTCACGTGCATTTCCTGCCCACCAAGCCATGAGCATCCACGGGAGTCACCACTTCAAGCATGGCCAGCATCCCATCCCATAAGGGCACAGAGTCTAGAGAGAGTGTGGGGTCAACTAGGAAAGTGGCTGCCAGTTTCTCCTCAAAGAGGTATTCTGTCCTTCTGCAGTGCTCAACTACATGTGATTTCTTTGTTGTCTGGGTAGAGGGTCTGCAAATGGAATTCATGGGTAATTTTCATCTTTAAGACAGTAAGATGGCTTCCAAATTGAGACAGTTTTTGAGTAAAAATTCCTTCCCAGACATAAAGTCCGGTATTTAGAATTAGATGTGGCCTCAATGTAGGAAATTTCAAGTTTTCTAATTTCTGGGGACATCCTGCCCCTGCAGCCTACCAGCTCCCCAAGTTTCATGAACTGTTAGAAAAAGGCATATCCGTAAACGGAGTATCTGTAGGTGGGCTACAATAAAAAACATGATATGCCTGTTTAGGAAGATGGGAGATTCTTGTTCTTACATTCTAAGAGATCATTCTGAAAATACAAAAAGCAGGCTGCTAACCTCTGGAAGGGGGAGTGTCTCATAGTCTGTATTTTTTGGTGTGTGGTGTGTGTGTGTGTGTGTGTGTGTATTTACTGTATCTAGATTTAAGCTCTTTTGTCTTGTAGCAGAGCATCTACAATTCATTTTGACCATAGGAACTGAGTCATTCATAGGTCTGCACCAACCTCTTTCACTAGGGTATCACCCATCCCATAGAACTCCATATTTGAGAAGAAAATAGTTCCTATACCTTCTAGATGTGAACCCAAACCATGCAGCTAAGTCAGAATATGTGTTATTTCCCCTTTATCCTGTAGCATCAGAAGAAAGAAATTTTGTACTAACTTTGCAAAGATTCGTAAAATAAATATTTTTCTTGGTTCCCCCCCCCGCTATTGCCAAATATTAATTACAATATTAATAATAAACCACAGAGTTCTTAGATGGTAACAGAAAAGAATATGGTTCCAGCTGCAGTTCCTGGGGGAAAATAAAAAGAACCAGAATCACTGTACGTTCTATAAATAAGTGGGTCCTGGGAACGGGCTGAGGGATGGGCAGGCACACCACTATTTGCAAACGAACTGATCCACAATCTCCGTGCACTTCTTACACTTGACATAGCAGCACCAGTGAAACTTGCAATGACAGCGTTCAGTCTGCACTGTCTTGAACTGGTCATAGCCACGGCCACAGCACATGAGCTCGCAGCCGTCCATGCCCTCTGAGGTCTTGTTGCACAGGCGGCCTTGTGTGCCCAGCGAGCCTGTGCTCTCATTGCGCACACAGTAGTCCGGGCTTGGGTCGATATAGACCAGGTCCTGCGTGGTCGGGGAGTTGAAGCGGCTGTTGACCTGGACCAGCTTGCCCCGGCTGTTGAGCCTCATGGCAGCGGCGCTGTCATACTTCTCCTTGAGGGCATCGCCCACCTTTCGGAAGTCCGCCAGCTGCAGCCAACATGTCTTGAGACTACATGAGCCAGACACTCCGTGGCACTTGCAGGCCACATCTGCCAGGTTGTACACGGTCTGCAGGAGGAAAGGGAGAAGGTTACTGTGCACATTCTTTGGAGGAGCTGAGATTCGGGCATGAGCATGGTGAACGAAGCTGTCTTCTGCTTTCTAGGGGCAGCCATGACTCTTGGCTGAATCAAGGGTTGTGTTTAACTCCTTCACTCCCCATCACGGGAAATACTGTTACCTTCGTTGAAAACCCTACAACTCCTTAGCTTTCATCATTCTGTCTGCAACCATGGCATTCAAATGCGGACAGAAAAAACAATATTCCGGTGGCCTCCACTTTTGCAGGGAAATGTCACCAGTACCATATGAAGTCCATTTCTTGCCTGTCTTCCCTGAATGCAGACCTACACCCAAGCTTCCAAAAGATGTGCTGTCATCCTGCCATTCACAGAGAAGGGAATAGAGAGCTAGAGAGGTGAGTTCCTGCCCAGCCACTGGAAAATAGAGAGTGTTAGGATCTGTATCCAGACAGTAGGCCTTCCTACAATGGCTTAGATCCATCCCTAGAGGGCTCAGTGTTCCAAACTTCCCCCATCCTACCATATTACTATGTCCTTCTACTGTCAGAACAGCCCTGACACCTGTGATCTCATCCACTCAGACTAGCAGCTTTGCAGCATGTACAGAAACATGATAGCACCGTGGCATGGCGAGTAGGTGGCTCACACAAGTCACATACCAGGGTGTAGGAGAACTTGGTCTGGGTCTCAGTTACGCTCATTCCATTCACTTTATAGCCCCTATTCTGTCCTGTCCCATCCCAGGACTCAAGGACCACCTTGCAGTCATGGATGTAGGATGTCTGATTTTGCCCTTGAACTTAGGCAACTAGCTCTTTCTTTCTCTTTGCCACCTGCGGATGGTGCCAGCTTCCTACACACTTGGGAGGATAAAGATGAGGAAGGCAAGGAAGCATTTGGCACTGCAAACCCATTCGGTAAACCTGGTCTTTTACCAAGGTGATGGGGCCATGGCCCTGGGTTTTTGCCCAGTCACCTCGGGCAGGAGCAATACTCGTAGGTCTGGCCCCGCAGCACTATGCCCAGCAGTCTGGGAGGTGGTGGCTGCCTATTTATAGTCCTGACTGCCCACAGTTCCTCATGCCAGCAACCTTCCAAAGTCATCATGGTGTGGCAGTGCTAGCCAGGGCCTGTCCAGTACCCAGTCATTTCTGCTCAAACGACCACCTTCCTCCTCTAAGGGCTCACAAGGGCTTTCTTTGAAAAGGAGCCCCAGCACATTCTCATGCCATAAAGACTTTCAGTCTGGGGAAGGTTTTGTAAATATATTTACTCTTTGCTCCCTTTTAAGGAAAACCAAAAGCTAATGACCTAAAGAAATTTTAATATGGTTCCCTGGCATAGTATACAACTTTCAAAGGTCCCAACCCCTAAGTTAGAGAAGAGCTGGTTCCTGTGTCACCTCACTGACCAAAATCCTTCCTTTAGCTCATCATCCCCACGATAGAGTACAACCAAATAAATGTCACACATCAAAATATGGCAATATCAAAGTATCAATATCAAGGGCAACAAAAATAGCAAACACACTTCTCAACTTCTCCAGGGGTCCCTCTCGCCACTTGGAAATGCTTGACCCTCTTCTGTCAGTGGCCAAGCCCTGCAGGATTTCTTTCTAGGAAAGAAGTGATAAGGACATCCCAGAGATGGCCTGGAACATTTCTGGTTGGATGTGCCATTCAGATCCTACACAGGGGAATGGTGTCAGGAGGGTGGCACCCTGGGAATGGACTCTTAGGGGCTTCCAGAGAATGGAGCTGGACCCCACCCCTTCAATGACATGTGGACCCATGACAACCACAACCTAGAGAGAGGACCAGTCCCTGAGGTGGAAGACCTGAGCAAGGATAGCAAGTACACATCCCCTCAGGAAAGCATAAGCAAAATCACATTACACTTAGTCCTCCCTGTCACCCTTAACTATTTACCCTCCAATTTGAGAGGAAGTTAGCTGGAATTATCTACACAATCTTTGACTTCTCTATGTCCAATTATTCTGTAATGTTTAATAATTAACTCATCATTTGTCAAGCACTGACCACTGACAGACACTAAACTAAAACCTGAGAAGGAACCAAAGGCAACATTGTTGTAGGCCGGGTTTCCCATGGTATACCCGAACACCTGACCTCACTGTGTCTTCACAATGACTCCGAGTGGGAGCCATTGCCATGGCCATGGGAAGGTGTGGAAATGTGGAAACTGGGGCTCAGAAACCAAGAGAGACAGACTTGATGTAACAGCAGCATCTCTAGTACCACAGTGCAGCTCTTTGGCCCTAAGCTCTGATTACGGCAAATTAACGGAGACTTATAACACAGATCCACTGACTGTCTTACATGGCCACTAAGAGTTCCCCTTGACCTCAGTTTCCCAGTCTGTGAGATGAGGCTGTGGGACCAGAGCGTTCTAAACCTCCTTCCTGTCCTTGGGTCTACACTGTGATTATCTTCCTCTTTCCTCACCCCAAAATATAGAAGAGTGAAATCTGTGACCAGAAAGTTCCTGGCACCTACCTTGGATTCTGTGAGAGAAAAAAAAAATAATGATCCTGGTTTTCAATGCTGCCAAAGTTAAGAAACATTTTCACCCCTTCATTTTAAAGCGGCCATAAAGTACCATGTGTTTAACCGCAGGGGGAAAAAGGGGGTCTTTTTAAAAATATCCTGGAGTAGCTTTTCATATCTCCAGCAGGATAAGGAAAGAGCAGGAACAAGAGGCTCAGGGAGGCTGGGGACAGATTTTCTGTGTCTAGACTCTCAAGAGCCACCCTGGACTCAGACTGAAGCAATGCCACACTGCTAAAACTTCTGTCTTTTCCCTAACAAAAGCCCTTTGGAAATACTCTGAACCCATCAGGTCTGCTTTATTTATGGCAGATGAGGAGAAAGAAAGTAGGGTCCAAAGCTGGGTAAGGTCTTGCTAAGTGGAGCACCTAATGAAAGCCGGCCACGAATGGATGAGCTCTGATAACCATTGGTGGGGACCAGTTACAAAGAAGCACAACATACTTCTCAGTGCACAGCTGGAGCTTCTGGACTCAGGACCCATTAATGGTACCATTCAGGCGCCTGGAGGAGGAGGCCTTTCTGGAATGTTCACCTCTCTCCAAAGGGGCCCCATGAGGGAACTGACTTAAGGAAAAATAAAGAGGCTGAGAGGACAAGGATGCAGAAGAAGACAGAGGAAGCCAAGCCTGCACAGAGACCCAAGGTATGGGTGTCTCCCAGAAACCTGAGCTGAGTGAAGGTGCCAGGAGAGAGAACCCAGTTCCTGTGCACAGGCAGAGAAGAGGGGTGGCAGGGAGACTAAAGTACTCACCCTGCGGCCTGCTTCATTGTTGTGCAGGTTCATGAGGATGCGCGCGCTCTCATAGGAGCCCTTGGCATGGATTCGCTCCCGTTCTCGTGCATCCACGAATTCCTTGGCAAAGCGGTAGCCATAGTCGATGTTGTCTCCACAGCCGCCCCACAGCCAGTCCCGAGGCAGGTCCTTAGGGCGCGCAGCACGACTGCAGCCACAGGTGGACAGCTCGCCCTCGCGGCATGCACGGCTCATGGCATTCACCACCCCAGCTGCGCTCACCGCATACGTGAAGGCGGTCTCTCGGCTGCCTGCGGGAGAGGATGCGGCGTCACCAGATTGCCTGCCCCATGCAGAGGCCTGGATCTTGTTGTGTGTCTGCGTGTGCGTGGGGGGGGGGGGCCCCGTGCGCCGGCGTGGAGGGGGGGCGGTACTAAGAAGACCTCCATCACCCCTGGCCTATGCAGCAGCTGGAGAAGACTGAGAGAGCTCAACACACACCAATTCTTGAGGAGATGGATGCCCCAGCACACAAGGCCTTGGACCCAGTTGTGGAGGCTGCGGCAAACCACTTGTCAAAACACAGGAGCAAGGATTCTCAGGATCACTGAAGGCAGGAACCCCTCTCCCCCATAACAGCCCATGAGAGAGAGAAGAGGAGCCTCCAACACACAGCAAACTGGGATTATCTGGTAAACGAGAGAGCATCCCAGCATGCCTCTCCGCTGCTCCTGCAGCAAACAGGCAGAGATAAACCTCAAGGTGACGCCCTGCGCTGGACCCCACCCTGAAACACACATGCAGGCCCTGGGCCCACCTTGAGGCAAACTCAGAAGGATGGATCAGGTCACACAGAAGCACCAGCTAACAAAGGAGACAGAAATACCTGCATCTCATGGGACATTTCAGAGCCTAGTCAGGACTTCAGTGCTGCTGGATTGATTTTTCACTAAACACTTTTTAAGATATTCAGTACTTCTTATTTCCCAAAATGCACACGAAAAGAAGCCACTAAAAGAAAGCTCAGAACCGGGCCAGACTCCCTTATCCTTGTTCTAATGTTGATATTATTTTCATCTTGAACAGAACAGAATTTGCTAGGCTCAAAAGCTTCTGAGAATCTCAGGTTCCCATCCTCCGCCAGACATTGCCTGAGGGACCATAGCTACTTGTCACCTAGCACTGCCCCCCTGTAGCTACAACCTCTCCTCCCCTGCACCACCTTTTAAGCTAGCTACTCTATCACCCCTACAAGGGTTCTAACCCTGCCCTGAAATCTCTCACTTGAAAATGGGTGGTTGAAGCAGCCTCCTGGTTGGCCTTGGCACCCCTCTACTGTCTACCTTTACCCCACCGTCCCCAGCTCTCCTGCCTTAGAGCACCATGCATAGCCTCTGCCTCCTGAGCAAACAGACTGGGGAAAAATGGGGGTGGGGAACTAAAAGAGTTCTTCCCTCCCCAGAAAACACTCACAGGAGCCCCATTAGCAGAGACTAGCTTAAGTTTGACTTGCATACCGAGAAATTTCTCCATATTTCATGTAACAAGAACAACTTGCTAAACAACTGCACCGTGAGTGGGAAAGGGTTAGCGTTCTGTTCCCTGAATGAAGCATGGCCTGGGTTGGAAGCTAGGGCCTTCCTTTCAAAATCAACTGTAAAATAAGGGGATTGAAATTGATGCCCACAAAATAAAGGTCTCTTCCGATGCTCAAAGCCCATGTACCAGATTGGGTTTTCGTACAGTGAGAAATCTTGCTGGCATCTTTCTGGAGTAGGGGTAGCACAAAGACGGCAGATCTCAGCAGGACCCAGCCAGCCCCAGGGAAAAGGTCTGTCCAAGAGTGATGGTCCTGTTGTCCTGGTTACCCTCTCCCTGGAGAAGCTCTGCCCCACAGCTCACTGGAGCCATTTGTGACTCCCTAGGAAGGACCATGGCTTTGACTCACACAGACCCTTCCCTCCTGCACTTAAAAAAAATAAATAACTTCAGGAGTGTGTTGTGGTTGGTAGGAGGATCCATGCAGAAAGTTCCAGTGGGACTTTCTATCTGTCTAATTCAAATTAGACAGTAGAGTTCATGGGGTTTGGAAATAAATGAGGAGGGTGGACAGATTGGAGTATTGTGCAGGTTAACATTGATAATAAGAAAATGCTGTGGCCCGGGCAGGACCATGGAATAAAGTGTTGTGGAGAGACGAAGAGGAGATAAAGTGATCCTGAGGGGTGCGGCACTGTCCTGGAGCACATAGGGCATAAAGGGCCCTTTTAGAAACACAAACCACCCAAACTCTTTCTCATAGGTCTTGTTCAGTCATTTCCATTTTCACCCAGAATACAAAACCTGGTAGGGCTCTCTCAGCTAATTGTTGAGTGTGCAGGAACATCAGTTTAAAAAGTGCTGTTTGGCTGCTGCCCGAGCATCCATCTCGTCATCCTGCTGGCTCATTGACTGGGTCTCCCTCTGCATGAAATCTATTCTGACTTGAATCCTCATGTCCCTTAAAAACGGTGCCTTCCTGACATCTTTTCACAGTGTAGAAACAAAGACAATCGAGAGACAAAAGCTGGGAGGAAAGGGGAAGACGATGAAAAATGAGAATGTTCCCAACACGAAGCCCAGGCCCTCCAGGAGGCGACTGCGCAGGGCCTCCAGGGCAAGTGGCACCTTAGAAAAATGAGCTGAGAAAAGAGTCAGAGGAGGCAGCAGGAGCTGCTCAGACACTGGCCTCTCACAGGGTCATGTTCTCACAGTCCCTGTCCACCCCCTTGGAGTACTGGGGGTTCGGGAGTGACATGGGCACACCTTGGGCACCGAAGATATTTTCAGTTTTCCCTAAGAGCATTGACTTCAAGCAGAGCCTGAGTTAGGAAAAAGAAGGTAAAGACAATTTTCTGTTCCTGGAGTTCAACCCCTGTCCCTTCTCATCGAAAAAAAAATCCATTCTAATCTTCCTGCTCTGCTTCTCTTGTTTCAAAGAGTTAAGGAGAAAAAAGTCCCACCTAATCTTGCAGGTGGCTTTCTTCTCTAGGACAACCAGGTCCTAGGGGACCTCTGGCCAGTGAGGATGCAGTCTGTGCTTCCTGGGGCATTAGATGACCTACTCATAGCACCAGCTGCTCCTTTCCCACCAGGCTAGGAGAGGATGGGGCTCCCACAAGCCCCACCACCCAGTCCCCACCACTGAGTGCCACAAGGCAAGGACCAAAGAGGACACTGGCAAGGGACAATTAAATGCAGGTATTTGAAGTATCAAACACTTTGAATCTTGGGCCACATTTAAAATGAATCTCCATCAGTAATGAGATTAGTTCATCAGATGAGAGTTTATTCAGTATGCTCTGGGCCAGAGCAGGCCATGTGTTGAGGATGAGGAGGGGATGGTAAATCAGATCTGAATGCAAGTGAGCGCACAGTAGAGAACTTCCAACTGCCCTCTTCCTCTGGCTTTTCCTAGTTACTATCCCTGTGAGAAAGCAGTGTTCCCAGGCTTTAAAAAGGCTATTGCCCTGCATACAGGAGGGAATGCTGAAACTTGACATTGTGATAGGGTTTAGAAGGAGGATTTTGCTCCTTTCTTACAGGATCAGAAGGTAGGAATGTCTCCACCATAGCCCCATGTGTCTACCTTAAGACAGCCTATGTCCAGGGACCATTCTTAGTCCCCCCAGGCTTAGCAACTCCAGTTGAACCCCAGGATATACATTAGCACATTTTAATCATTGACAGAAAGAACAAAGCCCCATGAACCCTGCAGGCTGGGGGCTACAGGCTGTTCTCCCACTAGCCCGAGCAGTGGCTTCCAAACCTGTGTTAGTTTATGAAGCCTGTTGGCTCATGCATCCACTGACAACTCTTTTTTGTTCTCAATGAAAGCATTTTTCAGAGTTTTCTTTCAAAAGTATTTTATCCATCTGTGATGGATATTAAGCCAACTTTTTATCTCCGGTCAATATATAACAGTTAAGTGCCTTGATAAATTGCTTCTTACTTTTGGAGTCAATGCCGTCATATTAATTATAAGGGCTTGTTTGCATAAAACTAAAGAAACCCACAATATTCACACTAGAAACACACAGGGCCCATCTGTCAAGTAGGATTCTAGACTATTGCAGAAAACCACAGACAAACTGAGTTTTTTTTTTCTCTTGGTCAAATTTAAATGTTGTCTCCTCCCTGAATGGATCAACAAGTTCAACACCATATTTAACATTAAAACTCAAGCTGTAAGCAAAACATTTAAACTGCTATTTCAAAGTTTCTGGGTTGAAAGCTCAAGTGTGTATTTGTCTGCCGATAGTCGAAAATCGCACACATAAATTGTATCACTTATTAAAATTCTTTTTGGGACTAAAAATAAAGCTTTTAACTTTATATATCTCTGTAGCCTCAGGAAATGTCTATATTAGGAAAATTAAAACCTTACTGCCAGCATTGCCAGCGTTCTGAAAACTGACAATTGGGGGCATTTTGATTGTGCTTCAGACACATCTAACCATCCCAAGCGCCTTTGGATTTAAAAGGATTTCAATGGCTTGGCTTCCCCCATCTACTTTTGATAATTCAAATCAAGTCTCCCGCTTCTATTTTAAATAAAATGTAAAGCAGAAGGAGGAGGAGGAGGAGGAGGAGGAGGAGGAGGAGGAGGAGTGTTGTAGGGAATGGTGGTATCTGTGGCATTCCCCTCCTGAATTGTTTCAAGAAGTTTAGAAACTAACGGTCAAAGGTGGGATCAGAACTAATACTGTTCTGGAGAATGACAGAAATCTTCAAGCCATCACCGAGTTGTAAAGGCGGACACCCCAACGATCATTCAAGCAAACACAAGGGCATAGGACAAAGCCGGGGGGCATCTCAAGTGCTTCCTTACCTATCTGCATCACCCTGCCAAAGACAGAGGTGTTGTCCACTGTGCTGCAGTTCCATCTCCGATGCCGAAACTGGTACTGGCATTCTTTGATGCCTGTCTTCGCGCCTTCCCCGATGTACTGCATGTGATCCTGATACAAGTGGCAGAGTTTCTTCTGTCCTTGAGAAAGTCCCGCCAGCTGGCTGCAGAGAGGCTGTGCACCTATGATATATACCTCTGACATCTGAACAGGGTTATTCATACCTAGAGACCTGCAAAGGGGAGGGGGAGATGTGCATCCAAGATTTACGTGAATTCTGGAGGTAGCTCCCCCCACCTCCCCGAAAGCATGTCAGCAATACAGGACTTGAAGCATATAGATGCCTTTTCTCTGTGTGTCCGCATGACAAAGTCTGAGAAGGGCTTCATAAAACTCCTCTGTTAAAACTGCACTAAGAAAACAGAGGTATTGTGTAGTCCCCACCCGGCCATCTGGCTCCCTCCACTGCCTTCCTTTCTGGTCACCACATATTTGAACCAATATTTCTAAGAGTCACTCAGAAAAGGGGGGAAATGAAGGTTGTCAGAGACCGGCCACTGACTTTAAGAGAAAGTGACTCAGTCCCCACAGAGTAGATGGATCTGCCTTTAAAATGCAGGAACATCAAAAGGGGAGAGAGAGCAGCACCTTCCTATGAGTGGAAGGAAAGAGGGGTGTTTACACAGACTGAGGAAAATCACCCATATTTTCAGACACATTAAAAGGGAAGGAGCTAAGACAAAATCCAATGTCCAGAGGTCGCATTCAGAGAAATGCTACTGCTTTCTCGGGAGAAAATATCCAGTAAGCCGTCACATAGCTTGCAATCCAGAGAGAAGCCTTCATTTAAGGGACATTTGACTACTTCAAGTTCATTGCCTTTTGATCAGATTTCAAAAGCAAAAGCCTCTACTTGGGGGTTAGTTGTCTTCTAGGACTCTACTTCTGACACTGGGGATTAATAACTTCAAATGACAGAAAAATAAAAGGTGAGCTAATTATTTTTTATTTTACCTAGAGGTGGCAAAAAGTCAACTTTATAGATACGCTTACAATTATTAGAGAAGTGTATTTCCCTTTTATTACACGAGGTACTGGAAGACCACAGCTCAACAAGGGCCTCATAGAAAAAAGTTCAGATTTATAGATTCGGGTTTCCCCCGTGGAACTGAGTATGTGATTTGTAAAATTAACAGGTTACAAGAAAATTCATATTTAAAAGGCACAGAGAACATATATGCATCTGTATTAGATAAATGCTCACTCTCCAAAGTTCAACACTGTAGCATAATGTTTGTTACAGTTTAAAAACGGAAAGAGTAGGCACACAGAATCAACTTACCACCAAGAATTAGCTTCTATTACAACCTGGGCGAAGGAGAAAAATGTGGCCAAAGCCATTAGGAAGAACTTGGAAGACATTGCACCTCCAGCCGTCCCCAAAGCCACTCCCGGGCTTAATATTCCAATGGACTTCTGGAGAGGGAAGAAAGGAGCAGACGTTTATTGCCTTCAGATAGTTTTCAAGCATACAAGTTTAAACAACGGAAACATCCGAGGTCTCCTAAGTTTACTGTTGACTGACTGAGCTTCTCCGTAAGTTTTTTGATGGCAAGATATAGGCAGTTTCTTTTTCTAAATTAATCCACCCACGCAACCTCACCAGGAAATCTTATTTCGCTGGGATCCTGCGCACGGGACACGCCAGCGATTACAAACATGTCTCAATGCTGTTTGAGTCAAAGACTGGGTGCCAGGTTTCCTTCGACTTCCAGTCCCGCACACCGCCCCCGCAAGCTTCCCTCTAGTCTCCCGCTGCGCTGGGTCCCTCCTCGGGAATTGACTCTGGAACCCACCGCCACCCTCGTCCTCTCCCAGACCTGGGCAGAAGCAACAAGTGGAGCCAGAATTAATTCCATGGGCGAGAGGAGAGCGAAGGCGAGTGGAGCGCACTGCCGGAGGCTGCCGAGGAGGCGGGGTGGCCGGCACGGGGGTGGGGGTGGGGGCAGGACGCGGGAGGGAAGGGCAGGGGGTGGGGGCGAGGCCCCAGGGACTAGCGCGCGCGCGAGTGCCCAGCTGGGAAATGCAGCTCCGAATTAACATCGTATGTTTCATAATCAGTTTACGGGCCGATTTTGGGAAAGCCATTTCCAGATGGGGAAGAGCAGCCTGGGTTTCCTTTAGGTTCTGCTTCAGCCAGTTTGGGGCGGGAAGTAGATGGGGTTGGGGGTAAGGGATAATGAATGGGAAGAGAGGTCCGTTCCCCCCCCATCCAGGGAAACCGGAAAGCCTGCCCCCTCCGGCCAGCCAGCGGCCTCCTCTCAGTCGGAGAGGAGGGGTACAGGTCTCCCGCGAAAAGAATGGTCCGGCTTCGGTTCTTTTCCCTGCCGGTCCTTCCCTCGTACCCCATTATTCTGACGTTTTCCTCTCCCTCTGGCCCCCAGGTCAAGCAGCTGCTGGGGGCGGGGGATGGAGACCACAGAGGGCCTGGTGTTTCTCTTGGAGTTGTCCCCCACGTTTCCATCGCGCCACTGTGAGCCTGTGCCTTGAAGTTACACCGCCACCCTTTCTCCAGCCTAGCCTCTCTGGCCCAAGTCGGACTCTTCGGTAAACCGGCCGAAGGGACAGGTTCCCAAGTGGAGCTAGAGATGCATACGCTCCGAAGCATAAGCGGTGTCCCTGACTTCCAGGGCGCAAGAAGCCGGGCGGAGAACGTTCCCTTCCTGAAGATATTCGGGGGGCAGAAAGTTCAGTTGCTGTTCCCACTGGTGACTTTTCCACCTGCAGGCGGCGGCGGAGAAAGGAGAGTGTGGGAAGGAGGAGCAGGTTTCCAACGTCCCTTTTCACATCTCTGATAAGTGTAACTCAGCGATGCCCGCAGCCACCGAAGGAGCCCCTTCCTTTGGAAAGGCAAGAAAGGTGAACCTTCTCCAGGCGATGGAAGGGCCCTGTCGAGGTCAGCTCCGTGAAACGGATGAAGGGGACCCTGTCGACAGTAGAAACACTACAGAGCCCTGGAACACGCGGTAGCTTTCCCTTGCGGGCCACCCCTTTGGCTTGGACACCTCCGGGCTCCTGGTAGAGGAAATGCTTATGTGCTTCCCAGCTCCGGCTAACCAGTGCTCCAAACTGCGGCCCGGTGGTCCCCAAAGCACCGCAAAGCAGGGGGCGCATCCTGGAGAATGGAAATCTGGAGTTTCCCCAGTCTTGGAGAGAGAAGGTTCAGACTCCTTCCCTACCCCCGCCTGAAGTGTCAAGTTTCCTCCAGGGGAGGGGTGGGCTTCGGGGTCTGTCTTTGCGCGCAGCCCCCGCTACACAGGCTAGAGTGGAGGCAGAAACCATTTTCGAGAGTGTGCGCGCGCGTACACGCATACACACACACACACACACACACACACACACACACACACACCGTCGTGCACACTTACACACACGCGTGCATAGACACACACGTTCCGAAGGGCTCCAGCTCTCAGATCGCGGCGGGCCTCACTCACTTTTGGAGCTTCACAGCGGGCGGGGCGCGCGGGGCGGGGTGGAGGAGAAATTGATAACAGATTCGGCGGATTACAGGGAATCTCTTTGTTAGAGTCGAAACCACACAAACCGAACCCTCTCCCGGCCTGACGCCCCCAGGGCAAATCCACTAGTTCCCAGAACCCTCGCCAACTGCGAGTGGAGCCTCCCGGTTTCCTCAACTCCTGTCTCCTCGGCTCCAGAGTAGGGGTGTCCCAATGAGATCGACAGGAAACCCCGAGAGCAGATTCTGCCTTGGACCCCCTGCACTTGCCTGGAAACACCTCGGTTTTCTTCCCTCTCCACTCTGTCGCAGCCCCACAAATTTGAGCGATTCAAGGAACTCACAGCGAACTCACTAATGAACACCTCCACGTTAGAGAGTAAAACATCCGTCTGGGTGTGTTTATCAGAGATCGGAAGCGAAGAAGACGGTGTGAAAGGAGAACTTTCGTGAGACTGCCGCAGCGGGGCTAAAACAAAAGTTCTGGTCAGAGTTATCCAGAGAATGAGCAAAATGTTTTCCAACAGGGGCTCCCCGGGAAAGCAGATTGAGAAGCCAGGGTATCTGTTCTTATGCGCGTGCAGAGGAAGCTGGGGTCTTTGAAGCAAAGGAAAGGAAAGACGTTCGCTGGTCTCGGAGCCAGGACAGTTGAATCTCGATGATGCCGTTTCCCCATAAGCAAACCCCAAAGCCTTCAGGATGTACTAGATCAAAGGTGCAGACTGCAGTGCTGTTCTAAAGGTGCCAACAGGAGAGGGAGAAAAAAGTTAAGGAAAAAGAGACTTCCTCGGTCTAGAGATACAGGACAAGGGCAAAAAAGCTTCAGTCATCAAGTGCAGAGACAGGCGGTCCCTCAAGACAAACACTGAAGAGGCTAGGCAGAGTCTCGCCACCCCCCGTGGGGGGGGCAGTAGCCCTACCTCACTGTTTGGTCATCGCCTTCTACTAGACTCTACATTTAGGGGCCACGTCTGGGAGTGGAAATGATGAGATATGCCAACTAGGCGGAAGAGAGTGACCCAGGCTCTGGGTGGCAAAAAGCAAGATGGGAAACTCCCAGAAGATCTCCGTTCTTGAAGAGGTGGAAAATGAACTGTGTTTCCCGGTTTACTCTTTCTCTGACGCAAGATGAGGGATGGAGAAACTTGCAGACACAAATTTGGTTCCTGCGTTTCAGGAGCAGCCAGAGAGAAGACCCTGAAGAATGACCAGTAGGGGGTCTACTTAAGAGGGGTAGACAAAGGAAGCATAGCTCCCCACCTCTCCGGCCAGGGCCCAGCTGAGCTATAGCTGCCCCACACCGAGAACGTGTGACCATGGCACTGTGTGTGTGTGTGTGTGTGTGTGTGTGTGTGTGTGCATGTGTATGTGTTTGCACACGTGCAGCAGGCAATAATAGCCAATATTATAAGTCTGGAGGTTGTCTGGAGCTGTAGATAGGGCAAGGAAACTTGTACAGTTCCGGAGCCACCAAGACTGGCTAGGAGGTCGGGAACAGTGACAATACAGAAGAAGATTACTCTAGCTTGATTCTCCTCCATTTCCTGAGCCTTAGCGATGCACCTCAGAACTCTTCAGGACCAATACACAAATACCTCTCCTAATTCAACAAGGACTTGGTCCAAACCTGAGCCGGAGTGAGATCAGTTCAATCTCCAATCTTCACAGGGATTTTTTTTTTTAAAATAGACAAAGTTTATAGGCAAAGACAAAGACAGGATTTATTTTTAACAGACTAAGAAACAGGCTGAGAGAGGGAAGCACCACAGAAAGAATTGGTGAACCGACCAAGGCCACACCCGAGGCCTCTCACTGTGACACTCCCTCTCTGGTAACCAGAAAGGGTAGAAATCCTTCGTACAATTTCCTGAGGCCCTTTTGCTGGGTCACACCTATGGCCCTTTCCTATTCGCAGCTCTAAGCAACACAAATTGTTCCCTGGCGGATATTTTAGAGGGGTCATGGTGGGTGAGAGGGATCTAGTGGTCGCCAGGGATGCAAACTGAAGGAATGGAACTCGGAGGCGCCCTACTTCCAGATGGCCAACAGGGGGCAGCCGGCACCGCGCGGTCGGTTAGAAAAGGCCGGGTTAAGGCTCCGAGTTTTTGCGGGCGCAAAGCGCACCCCTTAATGCACAGGAGCGCTCTGAAGGGGAAAACAACGGGCTTGGGCTGGGCCTCCTCCGGAGGATCTTGAGCCGAACCGCAGAGAGAAAGACTAAAGCCAGCTTGTCCAAGACTTTAGAACAACTGATCGCCAGTGTCTTCACACACACCCTCTAAAGCAGAGCAAGGGTCCCCACGTGTCCACCCATAAGTCCACTTTCCATCATTCCCTAGTTGTTGGGTACTCAATTGTCTTCTCCTACTGCCCCCCAAACATCTCCCTTGATGGAAACGGTCTTGAAACCAAATCTGGCTAGGACAGCAGCGGATGTGCTAATATCAGTCAGAGGGCAAAGGCTGAGAGGAGTTGCGACCTCGCCACAGGGCCCAAGTTATTTCCCCAAAAGCGTGTAGTCCTTTTAAAGTACAGCCGGGAGCAGTGGTTCGGAGAGGGCACGGAGAGTAAAACGGGGCCTCAGAGCACCAGGGTTTAAAGCCCTTTTCTTTGAGGGAAGAAGCTACTTGCTTTTAGGAAGCATCTTCCTTCCAGTTTTCATCTTATTCTCTAGTAAACTGGAAACGAGAGATAGGAGTATAAATGGAATTTGTTATTGAGATATGGAGGGCAGACAGAGTAAAAGTTGTTTGGAAAATTGCTAGTTATATTCCAAGACGAAACGTTAACTTTTTTTTGGTAAAAGTGAACTCTCGGTGACCCTCAGAGTGTGTGACTCGGCTTTAACATACAACTGACAATTAAAACAAACACGAGTTCACAAACTAGCCCCCGCCCGCTCTCGCAACGCTGTAGCCCCAGAGTCTCTAAAGCACTGGGCTGCCTCCGCTCTGGGGGTAGGATTAAAGCCACCAGGACCACTACTCCCCGCCCCCACTGCCACAGTAAAGGGCCTGAGCTCACCCAGAGGCCGCTAATAATGCTAATAACGCGACCCCGCTCCCCGCGCAGGGTGCGCGCTGGCCCCCCGCCAGGCACTCTTAAAGGCACAGGGGCCTGGAACGCTCGGGTTACTTGACCTGGATAGCCCAGAACCCGGCCCTGGTCGGAGGTTAGGGGTGGGAAGTGCATTGCTCGGGAGGGGGAGTTGGTGGCCCCTAGTTTCCCTAGTCCCGAAGCCCTCCTAACCCAGGAGTTCTCTTCCCCTCAGTTCTCCAGCCACAGTCTCCCCGTGCCCGTGAAGTGAGCGTTTGATAAATATTTGATGAATCGAATCATTATCCTGTTGCTGAAACACACAAAGTAAACTACACTCCAGGTTCTAGGGATAAAAAGGAACACAGTCTGTGACCCCTACTGTTTTTCCTGCCCTTGCTCTTCTCCATAGTTGAAAAGGTTTGAAGAATAGCCCGTGCGAAAAGTCTCCAAGGACGCAGAGGCAGTGTCCCCAGGGCAAGGGACGAAGAATCAGGCGTCCCTGCCAACGATGTTGGGGTTTAGCTTTCTCTAGGCGGTCGGTGAAATGGAGGGGATAGGAATAAATGGATGGAGTTCAGTTAACTTTAAAAAAAAAAAAAAAAAGTAGCGAGCGTCGGTGCGCACAAAACACTTACCTTCATGGCGAGGGGGAGGGGGCGCGGGGAGGAAGTCGCCACCCGAGCGAAGGCGGCCTAGGAATCCAAGCGAAGACGCCGGGTTAAGCCTAGGGGGACGAACCAGAGCAGAGCTGTGGAGTCCTCCTGGGCGCGTCGGGTGGGCGCAGCGACCCGAAGCAGAAGCCAGCACTGGCGCCCGGGCTCAGGCTGCCGAGCTGGTATAGCCTGGAGATGCGTCCGGGAACCGAGAGGGCGCAGCGCGCGGGCAAGCAGCAAGCGCAGGGCCGAGCCGGTACACGGTGCAGGAGCCGCGGGTCCGACGAGGGCGCGCAGGCGACTGTTCCGCGGCTAGGCGCTCCCTCTCTAACGTCCATCAGCGACGGCGGTAATTAGGGCTTTCCAACCCCAAATGTGGGCGTGATTGTGCAAAAGACTTTACAACAAATAATAAAAAAAATTCTTCACAAGAGGGTGAAAAAAATGCCCCACTACTCAACTGTGGCCCGAGGCGGGAAGGGGGGGCGATCCCTGTGCCCAAGGTGCCCCCAGTTCATTCACACCACGAATTCTGCAGACTCTTGGCGGCTCACGCCTCCTGATCGTCAGCTCCTCCTCTCTGGGTCTGTGGCCGAAACGTCTGCTTCCAGGGGCTGTTCCTGCAGCTGAGTTAGCTAGTGGACGTCTATGTACACACAGACACACACCCAAACACAGACACACACACACACAAACACGCGCGCACACGCGCAAACACACACACACACATACACACACGCAGCAGCAGCAGCAGCTTTTGGGGCCACAGAACAATCAGGCACGCATGGCTTTTTCTCCGGGAGATGCCGCGGAAATCGCACAAGTCGCCATCAGAGCTGCAAGAGTCAGTGCCAAATTTTGTCCTTTCATTTTAGGGTCTGGCACAAACCGGGCGTAAAATGGGTGCAAGTCCGCCCTGAACTTTCCGCCGCGTGGTGGCTTGAGCCGTTAATGGACAGCTAGCCGGTGAGGAACGTTGGCTTCCCCCTTTTGGTCCCCTTCTTTCTTTCTTCGGGTTAGCCTTCTTCTTTCCAACCCCAGCCTTTCCAGAAGAGTGAGGGGACGGCGAGCGAGGAGCTCGCCGGCGGCGACTCAATTCCAGAGGTCCGTGGCGGTCGAGGCTGCTCACCTCCTCGGTCGCGGCTGGGGTCCGAGAGGCGGTAGTGGGGCCCGGAGGAGGCGGCGGAAGGAGCTCAAGAAGCAGCGGCCGCACAAACTGGACTCCGGACGGCGGAGGCGGCGCCTCGGAGCCTGCAGCAACTTTCCATGCGATGCGGTGCCCCGCAGACTGACTGCCCCAGCTCGGGGACTGCGTGTCCCCCCCACCCCCGGCCAGCTCCCTCACTTTTGCTCTCCCTCTCTCCAGACTCCTCTTTCCCCTGGTGTACTCAGCGGAAAAAAAATATATATACTTTTTTAAAGTTGCAGAACCAAACCCGGCTGGAGAGGCAAAGGGGGGTGGGGGGAGAAAAAAGTCAACTTTGCCTATGCGCATGCGTGGTGAGGCTGTCCTATGACAAACTTCGCAGGATTTTAAAGCTGTACTACGGGCCCGGGGTGCCGGGAGGCGGGGTACGTTCCCTCCTTGGGCCCCCTCCTCAAGGCTCCCCATCCCCCAGGCATCTGTTGAACGACGTCCACTCGGCCGCTGTTGCCTGCCAGCCTCCTGACTATTTCTTCCAAAGCTATCGACCAGTTTGGGAACCTGAACCCCAACTTTCCGAGCCAGACCCTTGGCTCACCTATCCCAAACTGCACTCACTGGGGCCTCTGCAGAGAAGACCTCCCTGGTGTAGACCCTCCTAGGGATGTCTCCTTACGCCCCGGGGAAGGGTACTTAAAGACCGGGCTAGGAGGGTAGGGTGGGTTCGCGCATCCAGCAAAGTCCCGGGTGTCCTCGAGGTTTGGTAGACGGGATTGCTTCTCGGCCTGAGACCCTTGCGCGGCCGGGCAAGAATGAGAAGTCATGCCGCCCACGTAGCTGCTTTCAGGTGAGAAGACCGCAAAGTTGAACAGAACCGGGATTTGGACTCGGGAACTTCTAGACCCTTCTAGATACCTGAAATGTTAAGATTTCGGAGCAGAGTTGGTGGATGTGCTCCACCCTAGCCGTCAGCATGCCATGGGTGTCACCATCAGTGCCTCATGGGGATAGTGTTAACCATTTCCTCCATCTTTCCCACCTCCCCAAGGCCAAGGGGGAACACACACACACACACACACATACACACACACATACACACTGCAGAGTCAGTTTTCTTCATCCACAGGCTTGCCCTTGACCTGAGCACTTGGCACTGGCAGTCTGAGTTTGCTGCTCTGGTTCCACACCCAGCCCACATCCCTGCCAGCCCACCTTAGCGCATACAAAAGCCAGAGATGTTCAGTTTCAGATAGGTGACCACACCTCCATCAGTCCAGTCATATCTGTACCCACTGATTGCCTCGCCATCACTTCGTCCCTGTCCCTTTTGCTGGGAATGCAAACATTGTTCTGTAAGTTATGCAAACTGCCTGAGATGGATGGATGTGCTCCACCCCCAGCCCCTTCCTGGCTTTCTTTTGCTAAGGATGCTTGAAACCCTAAGGAAAGTCAGAGGTTCTGAAAACTCCCCTCACCTCTTGGATTTCCTTTCCTCCAACCCTTTCTAAGCTTTCACTCCATATTGATCTGTGGGCATTTTGCAATTTTTTTCATGTAGCTTTAGATTTGCACACTTGAGGAAAAGGAATAAAAATGAGGGATTTTTACATCAGGAGAATTGCTTCCAGGCGCCCGCTCCTCCCTTCACTCCCCTTCCAGCTATTCAACTCTGTAGCAGCTGCAAAGATATTCCCATGCCCCCCCTCCCCCATCCCAGGTGTCCCCAGCTCTGCCCTGGGGTAGCACATCTCCAGGATATAACTCTCCAGCGGCTGCTGAGAACAAGCAGACAGTAACTATGAACTGTGAACAGAGCTTCCCAAAGGGCACTGAAGCCACCTGGCACCCTAGTGCCCTGATTTCCAGACACAGGCTACATAAATGAACAGGGTCAACGCAAAAACACTGGTTCCCAGCCCTGCGCATTTTCTTTATTTTCCTTAGCTATTGTCTGAGTTACCTGGATAATGGCTTGATTCTCTGCAGCTGCCTTTGTGGGTTAGCTTCAGCCTCAGTGGATCATGCCTTGATCCTCTGGTGGAAGATGAGTCCCAGTTCCTCCTCTGCTACTTTCTTGTTGCTCATAAGACTTCTAAGCACCTCCATAGCTTCTGAGATATACACAGAGACACACAGGCATACCCCCCCCCCCCCACACACACACATACACACACCAAACAAAACCAGCCAGAAGTTTGATGGTACACTCGAAGGGCACTTAGAATGGATATGATGGCTTTAACAATTAGTGGGTGGGAAGGATGCACCACACCAAGAGGACTTGTTGCTAGACAATGACTCTTTTCGAAAAAAAAAAAATCAGCTCTGAGAAATTGAGGTTTCCAAACCCTCTTTGTGGCATACAAATTTTGACTGGGCCATTTCTAGCTATTCCTTACTTCACTGCCAGAGAATGTTCATACTTTTCGCTGAAGAAACACAACACATTTGATTATTGGCTATTTCCCCAGACATCACCCATGCTATTTGAGTTATATACTATATTTTATTGCTGAAGAAAAAAATTGGCAAGATTTCCAGCAAGTCTATCTGGTCCCAATGACTTCAGATAAAGGGATGAGAGTTTCTAAGCTGGTGACTCAATGGTCGCACAGAGAGCTATGGCCACTGGAACACTGAGCTCAGCTCAGTACACAGTACACAGGACCTCAGCTGTATCCTTCAGACCCTTTGAGCCTGAGGGTAGGAAGTTGCATCTCCTAAGAGCCAGTTCCATTGTGGGTGCTGTTGGTTGGTGTTACTGGGAAACAGAACCCGGAGAAATCAATGCCTGGGAAGACCTGTGGAGACCTGGGAAGGCTCTGGAAGGAAAGCCCGTGTGGAAGTCCTGCATCTCTTGGCAAACTAGGCCTGTGCTGGGCGTGTGTTCTCAGATTAAGTCATCTGAAGATATGCTGGCAGGGCATCACCATGCTTCTCTCATTAAACATGCTTTGGACTCCGTGGAACAAATAAATCAATATTTTCTGGCTGCTTTCCCAACAGGGTCCTTTCCTGAAGCACAGTGCAAGATAAGGAATTTATGAAGGACGGCATCCGTGTGCCGCCTTTCCCAGCAGGGGAAAGCGGGACCTGGGTTGTCATTCTGGGAAAATCTACCCTCCTTTTATGCCTGGCAAATAATGTTTTATGGCCCTGGGTTTATGGCGGGTGTTTTAATGATCTGCTGTAGAAAGCTGGTTTTCTCTCCAGTCCCTAGAATTTGTCAAGAGGGCCTTGAGGCCATAAAAGAGGGCTGGGCCCCAGGGACAAACAGGCTCCATCTTCTGAAATAAACTAATAAAGGGCCCCAAGATGTTCACCTCTTTGCTTCAGAGTCAAGAGCAGGAGGGCTGTGTGAGGGGACAAAGAGGCCGGAAGGAGCCAGGAGGCTTCCTCAGCACCACATGGCCACAGTCAAAGTAATCCTCTCACATAATGCTGCCACTGGCCACTGGCCTGTGAGGGACAAAGGCTCCCTTGAGGTTAGAGGCCATTTTGGTCTCTGGGCAGACTCAAGGGCATGTCTTAAGAATCTCAAGCCCAGCCAGGCTTGGTGGCCATGGAGGCACACACATCTCATCCCAGCACTCAGATGCAGAGGAAGAGGCAGGAGAATCTCTGTGCTCGTTATCAGCCTGGTCTACAGAGTTCCAGGACAACCAGAGCTACACACACACACACACACACACACACACACACACACACACACACCCCTTATTTAATAAAACAAACAAACAAACAAAAAGAACAGGAAGAATCTCATGTTCCCTATGCCCCGGGCCTGCCCTCTCCAGAAGCCCTTTCTTATACTCATGGTACGTTCCCCTGGCCTTGAATGGATACTTTGTTCTTAGATACATCACTGCTGTTTGTTTGTTACTGTGGCTTGTTGGTTTTTAGGGGCTAGCAGGGACAGAAAGAAAAAAAGTGTGACTTTTCTGTTCTGGTTTTTGTTGGCCAAATGATCCAACAGTGGCTGCATGTCCCTGTGAGTCTCAGTGTCCTCACGTGTAAAGAGGAATAGTAAAGAACAGGACTGAGGTTGGTCCGACCACTGCGACTGTACAGAGGCCACAGTCTACCTCGGTCCCACTCTGCTAACGGTGACTGCGGATGCATGGCAGATGCTGTGAGTTCGCACCACCATGGTGACTGGGTGACATCCTGAGGAAGGTAGAGCAGGATATGGCAGGCATTTCAGCATCTTGTGGCTGGCTACATGGTGGGGGGCGTCTCTAAGGCCGGTGCAGAGGTGCTGGGACACTGGTGAGGACTGAATGACAATTCTATCTGGAACACTTACCCAGCTCTCCCTGCCAGAGGCCAGTCCTGCCTGCCTCAGCTCATACTTATCACCTTACTTTGTCCTCCCTTCCGGAAGTAGATCATAGTAGCTGAGAAGGAAGAAAGGGGAAAGTCAAAGAAGGTCACAGATCCCCAAAGCCCACGTTTTTAGGGACAGGGTTTGAAACTTCTGATTGACGCTTCACTGCAGGCGACACCGGATCGGCCACCCCAGAACCGCCACACACCCCCATGCCAGTTGAGTTTTATGGCAGTGTCAGAGCTTTGTTCCATCAGGAATTAGCTGACTTGAAAGCCAGGACTCCCTTTCCCTCTCCACACCCAGATCCAGCTGTCTCCTCCCCCATCCCACCCCTGAGTTCTTACCTTTCTTCCTTGCTTTCTGGAAACAGCTTAGATGGGGACTCCTTCCACACAATCCTGCAAGTGACCCTGGAGACGCGGGGAGGGGGCCGGGGTTGGGATGCTTGCTCTCATCCTGCAGTTCAGGCCCTGTTTCTATCTTGTTTAAAGTTCCTTAGGGCCTCCCCAGATCTTATGGACCAGCTGTAAACAAGTTTACTAGGTTACAAGTCTCCTCTGGGCGTGCCCTTTGTGTCTGGTCTCCCACATACATGAGATCCTGTGGCTTCCTATTAGGATTCCCTCACTCTTTTGGGGTCACCTCCTCTAGGAACTATTGATCTGAAGCAGTCTCTGTCTCTGTCTTCAGGACTTCCCACCCCTGTCCCTGCTCTGGGGATGGGTTTTTCCCTCCCTCCTGATCACAAGCAACCTCATTTAATTTGCATGCATATTTGCCTGCTTTCCATTTGCCTGCACTAGAATGTAAATAAATGCAGGAGGGCAGGGGTCTCTATATTGCTCAAGGCTGTGATTCCCCATG